GGGGAGATACACGCTGATAGCAAAAGGTCAGAGGACAGATCATGGGCAATAAACTGGTAGCTACAAGGGACAAGGCAACCATACATACATCCAGCTTCTATCCAGAGTGCGAGAGAAGATTGGAACTTGAGACACTTCTGAATTTACCTTTAGTGAACCTTGTGGGGTGGGGGTGCGGTGTGTGTGGTTTGGTGGGTGATGTCAATGGAGCAGAAGAGTTACCTGAGCAGGAAAGTGCAGAACTCAGGGACTCCCTAGTTTTAAAAGGACTTTCACAACTTGTGGGTTTGGTCGCTTTGAACAAACACCTGAGGCTTCCGCAGGGCAAAGTAAAAACAAGCCTCCCTGAAGAGTTAATTGTTACAAATTGCTTCTTACTATGATCATATAATTAAACTTTCTGTTCTAACGTTGTTTGTTTAAGCCACATCACAGTGTAGCCCCTAGTGAACTATGTTCCACGCTGGCTGTTACACACATGTCCCCATGTGCTTTAATCTTTTCCAAGAAAATAATTCCTTTCTTTTAAGTTAAGTGGAGACTTCAGACAAACCAACTTTAGCAGGAAGAACTTTGGAGATTTCCCAGGAGTGAGTGGTATGGATGCTAAAACTTCACGGGTCAAGAGCTGTGCAAACGGCAGGAGACCCTGTGACAGTCTGATCTGGCATATTGCTTCACCCACAGCTTCACACGATGTTGTAGGAGCAGAGCCAGAGTGGATGATGTAATTACTCTGAAATAGTCAATGGCGTCCCAGCTTTCTTCCTCTGCACTACGCTAATGGATCATCCTTGACCTCAATTCTCTAAAACCCTCGAATAGCATGAAAGAAACCCTAGAAAGGGGTAGGGCTTCCCCAGAATTCCTTTAAAATGCAAACAATCTGGCCCAGTCCTTCAGAAACCACACAGATTATAGCCAACTACTGCCAAATAAAGCAACAAATCCCTCTAATTAGAAAGGCCAATTAAAGAATTCAAAGGGAAATGGAGAATCCCTTATCGTTGAAGATGAAGGGTATCTTCTCTCTTTAAAATGTTAATCATCTGTGAGGTATTGTCCCAGGATAAGGACCCTCAGGGCCACGTATGACCAGCATTGTGGCAGAGAGTGGGTGACCCAGCAGACACAACCTGAACGAGACAGGGCAATCCAAATCCACTGGCTGTGTGCTCTTTTCTCTTTTTTGCTGCTTATCTCAGGCTCAAAATTTTTTGCTCAGTCTTCTGAACCAATAGCTCACATAAACTACTGTTTTCCTATGGATAGTAGGGTAGTAGATGATGAAAAGGAAGATAGGTTAGGCAAACTGTGACCTGTTGACAGTCAAATGAAGAGCTTGATAATGAAACAAACATAGGTAAGTGCACATGTTCCCGTATAGTGCAGATTCCTAACTCATATTTCCAACTTAGGACTTCAGGAGATCCTTTCTATTGAATCCACTTAAGTTCTTAAGCAGGGGAAAAGTACTACATTGTCTCATAAGGAATATGCAAAGGAAATGTATCCATCTAAGATCCTAGAATGACGCTGACTTCTGTCTTTGATGTACTTTTTTTATCAGCTCACATTTATTGAACAGTTTACTGAGTACCAAGCATTGGTCTATGCACTCCCCCGAATTCTTTCATTTTCTCCTCATGATGACTTTTTGAGGTAAGTACTTATGATCATTTTCTTCTGGCAAATGAGAAAACTGAAGCCTAGAGAGGTTAAGTAATTTGCCTAAGGGTGAAAATCTAGTAAGCAGCAGAGAGACAGGACTTGTACCTGGGGCAGTCAGATCCCCAGCAGGATCTCCTAATCAGTTAGTACACCCTGCTACCCTTGGTGAAATTGCCTTTGCAACATGTTTGTTAACGATAAAGTCACATCCTTACATAAAATATTCATGTTATTATTATTAAAATCCATTTAGTTCTCTGATTCATTGAGATGATATAATAGACCTATTAAAATTTAGCATATGTGAAAGTGTGGAACAAATCAACATATTTCTAGTGATAATATATCTTCTTTAATCTCAATCATTGAAGAATAGAAGATCTGACTGTGATTTCTTATTTTTCATATATCTATAAAAACTAAAATGGACTCATTTGACCTATGCACTATAATTGTATTACAACCTAATGAAAATTTTAAAATGTACAGTTAAGGATAACAAGAGAGACAAGAAATATAAACAAAGCAGTTTATAACATTATTTAATGCTTTCCCTAAATCATTTGAATGTTTCTGCATGAAGTCATAATGATATGCTCTTCTTTGAGATAAATTGCTTGTTTTTCTTGATTTTGAGATGCAAATTTTTTCACATCTTGATGTTTTTGAAATTAGTAGATGCCTTATAATCAATGTGAACATTTAATATAGAATACTTTATCCTCCTTTCACCATCCAAGAAGCTGTTATTAAAGCTATCATGTATCTTAGAATCTTAAAATAGAAGAAGTTCATAGTACTTTACATTCTTAAGATCTGTAACACTATGTCAGTCAATATAGAATGCCCACTGTTTTGTTCAATGGACACAGCTAGCTTTGCCCCAACTGGCAGTTTAAACATCACAGAAAAAACACTGAATATCTTTCAAAGCCTATGTTTGAAAATATGATTGTATGCCTACATTTGGAATTTTAAGTACTCATCTTTCACTAAAAGGGACTCTACAGTTGATTCCAGGACTGGGAGAGAGAAAATCCAGGGTGAACTAAGAACATCTTGCTGTGCTACAAATAAAGAAATGATGACAAGGACATGTCAAATGGATACAAGAGCCAACTTGTAAGGGCTCCATCTAATCAAATATGTGACAATTTGTGCTTGCAACTAGATAATTAGAGTAATTTTTATAAGCCACTGAATAGAATAACCTATAAGTCCATATTGGTAATAAATTAATACATAAATAACAGATGATAAGAGGAAGCTCTTCTTACAATAGTATGTTACATCATAAATGTAGAAAAGAATGGTAGCATTTAAAAATCACCATTTTGCAGTCATCCATAGAAATCAGTTGAGTATATCAGCGTGGGATGCTATAATGACTGATGAAAGCTGGATAAGAAACAGTATTTTATATAGTCTCAAAGTATCTTCCCACAGATTCCTTGTTAATATCAAGGGGAAAATGGTAAGCCTACAATGAGGAAACGTGACACAGAGCACTTCAACCAGGTGATGTGTTAATATCACCAACAACGGGACAGCCTGACATCATGTGTCTCCTGATGTGATGCATGTGAAAGGGCACAGCATTTCTTACATGTCACACCTACTGAAAATGGATAACCTACAAGGAAATACCAGACAGATTCCAAACAGTTACTCTGTACTCTTCAAAATGTCAATGCTGTAAAAGACAATGAAAGCCTGAGAAACTATTCCAGATTAAAATAAACTAAAGAAGCCTGACAACTAAAAGAAATGTGTTATCTTGTATTGGATTCTGAATTGGGCATGGGGTGGGGAGGATTGCTATAATGGACATTACAGGGACAACTGATAAAATTTAATAGTGAACCTTTTATTAGATAATAGTAATATATGAATATTAAACAGCCTCAACTAAATAATTGTACTGTTTATATAAGAGCATGCCCTTATTCTTAAGAAAAATTGAAATATTTAAGGGTAAAAAGACATGATTTCTACAAATACTTTCAAATGGTTCAGGATAATAATACATATCATGTGGGGAGAGAAAGCAAAGTAGCATAGTGTTAACAATTGGTAAATTTGGATTAAGAGAATACAGGAGTTATTTTTATTATTCTTGAAACTCATCTGTAAATTTAAAATTATTTCAAAATAATTAAAATAGCTAAAAATAGTTTAAATTTTTTTTATCTATTTTGTGTTCCATTTGAATGTGTTTTTTAAAGTAAATTTTGAAGCATTGTGGTCAATGGATCTTTGATAGAGTCCAGGCTGGAAACTTGAAGCAAATGAGTAGTAAATAAGTAAATTTAATGTGTAAGTTGATGGTCAGCCTCAGGTTTCAAAAAGGGTTCTTGTAAAAAAAAAGTTGTTAGATGAAGGAAATCTATTTAGAAAGATTTTATATAGGACCTTGAATTCTTATTGTATGATTGTTCTTATTATCTGCTTTTGGAATTTAAAAAAAAAGAAAGAACCATTTTGAAATTTAAAGAATCTAAAAAGTAAGTAAAACAACTGAAATGTTAGATGGTATAAATGCCAAGCAAAATGGGATAAAGTTCCTTGTAATGTCATTTGTTAATAAGCCAGTACACTGAAAAGCAGAGTGTGGATCCTGGAATGTATTTGTCTCTAAGAAAAAAGACTTTTTTTTAACAATTTTCCCCATGTAGAACCAGGATTAAATTAAGCATGCGTTGATAACAGTTGAGATATACTGGTACCTTATTATATCATGTATTTATATTTCTTCAACATATATGAACTTATATACCTCCAAGTAACCTATCATTTTTTTTTATACTATCTCATCTGTCTTCTGGTTAGTCTTTTGTATACTGTCACTTTCTGGTTAGTTCACAGTTTAATGCTGTTCTCGTGATGCAGTTTAATTTTAAGAAAAAGCAAAGTTGACTTTAGCAAGTACTATGGTCTAGGCCCTCAATTATTCATGATCATAGCCAATGGAGCCATGATGGTAAATATACCATCATTATCTAAGAGAAAGTTACCTGATTTGTATGAAAGTTGCAAAGCACTTTGCTTTGGAATCCAAATCTACAAAACCAGGAGTCGGGGGTGGGGAGGGGGCATGGGAAATGCCATCGATGTCTCCTACATGTCTACTGCATGTCCTGCTTTCTCTAGTACATGTTTCTGGGTCACAGTCATTTTTAATTAAAATCTTGAAAGACTAATGCTGATATATACAGAAAGATTGCCTTTTTGGTTCTTCTTGATAAATAACGACTGTGGTGGGTGTCCTCTGAAAGCTTTGAAGCAACTTGTTTTGTATAATAATGTGTAAGTTTATAGAAATGTGTTCCCCTGCTACCCTCTTGGTAAAACCATTTAGAGCTGCAGTTTTCTTATCTGAATGTTTGGACTCCTAAGAATATCAAAATGCTTGTTAGGCTAATGAGGCTGACCTTGACATAGGCATTAATTAGGCCTGAATTAAGGAACCTCAAATTACAAAATCATCGATCCACAAGTAGTTATTGAGTACAGACTCTGTGGTCAGCACAGCTGCTCCAGGAGAAACACAGTTAAAGTAGCTCCTCTGCACTCCCGGAGCGCAGCTCTACCTGGAAGATAATGTAGTCATGGAAGCAGCTTCAACACAGGCAGTGTCTTCTAGGGGGTGGTGGAGGGCAAAGACCAGTGGGCAGTGGGGCAATCTCTCCCTGCTGCCATGGGACCCAGCCCCGCTGTTCAGGGAGAGCCAAAGACCACAGCAGCCCTCTCATACCACAAATGTGAAAACCAAACTCAGGGAGGGTATTATTTGGTAAGATGCACGTAATATAATTCCATCTCCTGCTTTTTCTGATATGAATGGAATTGTTTCTTAGCTTCTTAAAGCAGCTGGTGGGGAGGGCAAAGGGGACAAATGGCAGAATGGGTTCTCATTAGTTACAACGATGACCCTTACTCACTGATGGACTCAATTTTCTGATTGTAAAGATGAGGGTAAAACTACATGACTTGCATTTTCTACCTGGTGGTTGGATTGGGGGAATCATATGAAACTTATGTGAAAATACTTTGAAAACAATTAAGTACTATAAAAAATGTAGACGATTATTAATAACCCCTGACATTTATTAAGTACTTATTGTGTGCCAGGCATTGTGCTGGCAATTTATATTCATTACCTCAGTTAACCCTTCCACAACCCTCTGAGGCAGGTACTCTTACCAACATTGCAGTGAGGAAGACACCGAGGTTCACAGTGATAAATGGCATAAGAGTAAGTGCCCCAGAGAGATCTCAGGCTCAGGTGACCTGCTTCAAGAATCCCCGCTTAATCACTCTTCTTACCAGTTCTCAATTATTATGGGAGAAGCCAAAACAGATGTGTGACCATTGTCTACAGCAGACTCTGCCCACTCACCTAATAGCGCCCAGGTTTAGGCTCAGGGTCAGCATGGAGATAAAACCGTGCATCTTGCTGGGGGAGCCAGGAATGCATGGAGAAGGCAAGTCTTGGGGAAAAGAGCATTTCTCAGGAGACTCACTAAATCCCTTTGCCTTATGTATGCACAGGCATGCACATTCCAGCCCTGGGTATTTAACCAAGCTAATTTCAAACTAATATTCATGGCTTGCAACGAGGGCACTGATTAATCTATTAGCTGCACGTGGTAACGAGCTGAGAAATTATTGTTTCAGCTGCTCTCTTCCTGCTCAGAAGCCCACAGGGCTGCCCCACATTGTTCTCGTCATAGCTATGGATTGAATGGAAGTCCCCAAGTCAGTGAACAGGGCCACTTAGGGACACAGTTTCAGGCCCAAGCAAGGAGAAGCGGGAAGATGGCAGCTGACTCTGGGGACCTAGGCTTCTGTTTACAAAGGTGAATCGGAATGTTGCTCTAGCTCACCACTGCTTCTTACCCAAAGCCTGATGCCGCGAGGGAAAGGGGAGATGAGGCTGGCAAATAGAACCTTAGAGAAAATGTGCTTATGTTTGTGCAGGAGCAGGAAGGAGGGGAGGAAGGTGGACCGCAAGGGAGGGGCTCTGTCTTGGTTGCTGCAGTGAGTGGTAGGGTTTCTGGCCAATGGAACCTGGCTGGCACCAAGAAAGCTTCTCCCTCATGATGTTCCTGCATCCTCACCTGTAACATCTCTTGTTCCAGGCCCCAACAGGAACTCGCAATCAGGTGGAATTGTGTGCTGGCAGAAGAAGCAGTGGCTAGAGATGAAAGTCACTATGCAACAAGATAAATGCCTCAATGCTGATAATTTGGACGAGAAATCTCTGCAGATTCTGGGCAGGCTAGCCTGAACAGCAGAAACACATCAACTATGTTATCCTGCCTTGCCCTTCCTGACCCCTTCCAGAGGAGTAGGACAACAGAGGTGATAGAAGACTCCAACTTCTCTCCTACAAGCCAGGTATCCTTCCAAACACATCCGGAAGCTCATTGCCCTTTGGTTTGTTGTGTGTTAGGCTCTGCCAGTTACTCAGCAGACATCATCTTACATAATCCTCACAAAGCTTCTAAGAAATAGGTATTATTATCTCTCCTCCTGCTTTTTTTTTACAGATAAGGAAATTAAGGCTCAGAGTCAGTAACTTGCAGAATGTCATACAGATGCACAGAACTCAAGTTGGGGTTAGAACCCATTTTGTCCAACTCCAGAGCTTGGACACTTTCCCCACCATTCCTGCTGAACTGCCACACCTTGGGGGTGTCCCAGGGGAGGAGAGTGAGGGTGGAGCTTGGCTCTGGGGAGCTCAGGTTGTGTGCATGTGTGGGTGCATGTACACCTGTGTGCTCCTGTGTGTGGTAGGTGTAGACACATGAGCTCATTTCTATTCCCTTTTCTCTCTCCCTCCCAGCCCCTCCTCTCTGCTCTCTTATATTCCTTTTACCCACCTTGCCAGTTTTCTTTTTCTCAGTTCTCTTGTCACCTGCCTGAGAAGTTAATTCACACACATGTGTTAGAAATTTAGTCATTTAACTCTTCCTTGAATATTCACATGTTAAGAGAAAATAAAGGGTGAGACACTGATAAAAAAATAATACACCAGTCCTTCAAGCAGGAGTGGGTCCAGATGTTTTTCTAGGAGGAGGGGAAGTGACATTTTGGGGACCATGAATGTCATGCCTGGCACAGAATGGGGAAACACAAAAATTCACCAGCACTTAGACTAACATCAGAGGCACATGTATGAGAGGAGAGAAGAGAGACCAGCCTGATTCTCCTTGAGATTGCCCAAATAAGCACATTTGGGGTCTCAAAAAGGAGAATCCTCCTGGGCCTTAAGGAGCAAGGACCTCCTAGTGTTACTATGGCCCTGACCAGGCTAGGCTGGGCCAGGAGAATGAGCATGGGATCTCCCTGACAGTGCCTCTCCAGGCCACCACCAGCCCAGGGAAGGCAGGCCCGGCTTCTGTGCATGTGTCAGCCATCCCATGGCAGCCCTGATGCACAGGCTCAGGGTTTCTGTGGTATCCAAGCAGAAGAATCTGTACTGTAAGCTTTGGAGGAGAGGGGTGGAGCTAGAGTATCACCACGGTAACATCCTTTGTGGCATCATTTTTACCCCAGTCCAAGCCCATCCCTAATGCAGCCATTTTTAGGGCTATAGCCTTACACAGAGAAGGCCACACGGGCACAGTGCAGACTTCTTACATAAGATGCTTAGTTGGCCTCTTCTCTCTCCTTCAGTGCATATGCCTCTGATGTTGGTCTGAGTGTTTATGTTTGCCTGTTCTCTTCCATTAAAGCAGATCTGGTTATGGTCTTTGTTTCCTTTTGAACAACCACCCCTCCTCCCCAAACAGAACATAATAAACCCAATAAGGACTAGAACTTTTGGTAATTTTGCCAGCTACTGTATTCCCAGTCCCTGGAGCTATGCCTGTACATAGTAAGTGCTCAATAAATATTTGTTTCATGAGGGAAAGAATGTATTATAGATTTATCAGAAAGTCTGTAGCTTAGCTTTAATATCCAGACACCCATTGGCATTTGGCCAAATATTCCTAGTAAAGCACCTGAAATTCCCATTTCTGGGCCACACATTGGGCACAACTGCAAATATATTGCTTAGTCAAGTTAATGCACAGAACAGGAGGTGACCTATCTAGGAGATCAACTTTCCCTTCCTGGAAATTTTTACCCAGATCTTAGCTATCTTACTTTCTGAATTTTCTGATAAGAATCATAGTGTTAAAATACACTTTGAAAAGACAACCTATGTTATCTGAAGCAATATTTGCAAACCATATATCCGATAAAAGGTTAATACCCAAAAATATATTAATAACTCATGCAGCTCAATAGCAAAAAAACAAATAACACAACTAAAAAATGGGCAAAGGACCTGAAGAGACATTTCTTCAAAGAAGATGAAAGGCCAACACGTACGTACATGTAAAGGTGATCTACATCACTAGTCATTAGGGAAATGCAAATTAAGACCACAATGAGATAACACCTCATGCTTGTTAGAAT